AACCAGTCCATGTAGGTAGGCCACCAGTCCCAAATGGCTGAAGAGTAGGTCACGAATGACTGAAAGGTCGGTCTTGGAAAGACAATGTCCATAGGCAAAAAGTTCCTTTTTCAAGAGTAACTGGCAAGGGCTTAATGCACCTTCCCACGATGTCATCCAATCAGAGTTCGTTACTAGGCAAACAGTCCGGTTGCACCACATGACTTCTTTCTCATACACACCAGATGTTATTTGGGTTACGGTGGTTTCTCAAAGAGTCACAACAATTCCCATCTATCTAATCACACAGAGTCCTTTCTCAGGCTTTCAGAATAACATTCTCTCGCTTGCCTGGAAAACACTTGTCAGCATAGCAAAGATACTTTATACAAAGAAACAAGATGGAACCTATCTGGCTTATTTCTTAATTACAAAACCCATATGCCTTTAAAAGATTTTAACTCAAAAACCCATCTCATCACAGATGAAACTTTTGAAAAAGAAATTGCAAGCATTTCAAAGAGACATAATGTAGTAGTGATTGGAGGTTTCAATTATCCTGATAGCTGTTGGGAGGCAAAATCTGCCAATAAATTCCTAGATTGTGTGGCTGATCATTTTCTCCTACAAAAAGTGGAGAAAGAAACTAGAGGACTAGTTATCCCTGACTTGATTCTAACTAATAGAGATGACTTGGTGGAGGAAGTGCCAGTAAGGGGAACTCTGGGCGAGAGTGACCGTGTTCTACGACAGTGGTTCTTAACCTTGGGTAACTCAGGTGTTTTTGGACTGCAACTGCCAGAAGCCTTCACTACCAGTTGTGCTGGCTGGGGTTTCTGGGAGTTGCAGTTCAAAAATACCTGAGTAACCAAGGTTAAGAACCACTGTTCTACAAGACTTCTTGATTTCAAAGGAAACCAAAGGAGAGTGTAGCCGCACATATATGCTGGGTTTCAAAAAAGCCAATTTTAAGAAACTCAGGACAATGATAAATAAGGTCCCATGGCAGGAGATCCTAACAAGAAAAAGAGTCGAAGAAGGGTGGGAGTTTCTAAAACGGAAAATTCTAAATGCACAACTATGAACAATTCTGAAAAGAAAAAAGGTGGGAGATAGGCTACTGTGGCTTCAAAAAAAGCTCAGAGAGGGCGTGGGGGGTGGAGGAGACATATAGGCAGTGGAAGGAAGGCCAGGCCACAAAGGCAGAGTATAGAGAAGTAGCACAGGATTGCAAGGATCGTATTAAAAGGTCAAAAGCTGAGAATGAGCTGAGGCTATAGCAACAAGACTAAAAGCAACAAGAACAAGTAAAAGCAACAAGAAAGCTTTCTTCAGGTAAGAGTGTAGCAAAAGAGAAAGAAAAGAAAGAATGGCTCAGCTAATCAATGGAAATGGAAAAATGATAATAGAAGACAAAAGGCAGAAATGCTCAATTCCTATTTTAGCTCAGCCCTTACCCAAAGGACAGACAATTGTGAAGTGCAGGTGCAAGGAATACCTCACTACCTTGGACGAGTTCAAATCTCCAAAGCTGGATGAACTGTTTCCAAGAGTATTCCTTCAGTTGGGTGAAGAATTCTCAGAACCACTATCCATTATTTTCATGGGAAATGGGTGAGGTGCCAGATGATTGGAGAAGGGCTAGTGTTGTCCCTGTCTTCAGAAGGGCAAAAAGGAGAAACCTCAGAACTACAGACCCATCAGCCTGACATCAATCCCAGGCAAAATTCTGGAACAGATTATAAAATGGTCACTATGCAAGCACCTAGAAAACAATACAGTAATAACTAGAAGCCAACAGGGATTGGTCAAGAACAAATCCTGCCAGACTAATCTGATCTCATTTTTTTATCAAGTAACTTCCCTGATAGACAGAGGGAATGCTCTAAGTCTAGACGTAGTATATTGTGACTTCAGCAAAGCTTTTGACAAAGTGCCCCATGATACTCTGATTACCGAACTAACTAGGTGTGGGCTGGATAGAACAACTGGATACACAGTTTGCTGCAGAATCGTACTGGGAGGGCAATGATTAATGGTTCCTTCTCAAACTGGGAGGTGGTAACAAGTGGTGTACCCCAGGGTTCAGTCCTGGGCCGTGTGCTCTTTAGCATTTTTATTAATGACCTGGATCAGGGGTTGCAGAGAATGCTAATCAAATTTGTGGATTACACAGAATTGGGTGGAATAGCTAATAACCTGGAAGACAAAAAACAAAATTCAAAATGATCTGGATAGGCTGGAGCACTGCGCTGAAAACTACAGAATCAAAGTTAAGAGGGATATATCTGAAGATTCTCAGTCCTCTAGGTGAGGTTATCTGGAAGTTGAGTCATGGCAACCGGACATCTTCCTTACTAGGTTAAAATGTTTTGCTACTCATCCAAGTAGCTTCTTCAGTCTGAGGAGAGTTGGTAGGAGACCACTGATATACAGTATCCTCCACATTGGTGTCACTACCCCCAGGTCTGAATAGACTCATTAGTTTCATAAAGGATGGGGGGGGGGTGAGAGAAAATCCCACCTGTGCAGTCCTTTTCCATGCATTGTCATGGGTCGTTAACAGTGGCTTTTCTGGTGTGTGGTTCTGATATTTCTGGGAATGGATGAAAGAGCAGCATGATAAATAGGGGAAAGTACTGCTTCTAGGAAAAAGAAACCAACTCAGAATTACAAGATTTAATTACCTAGCTCAACAATATTGCAGGTGAGAAAGATCTTGGAGTCACTGTAGATCACAAGCTAAATGTGAGTCAACTGTATGATGTGGCTACAAAAAAGGCAAATGCTATTTTAGGCTGCATTAACAGAAGTATAGTCTCCAAATCTCATTCTCCTCTGTTCAGCAGTGGTTAGGCCTCATCTTGAGTGTTGTGTTCAGTTCTGGACACCGGACTTCAAGAAGGATGCTGACGTATTGGAACAAGTTCAGAGGAGGGCGACAAGGATGATTAGGGGGCTGGAAGCCTAGCACTGTGAGGAAAGACTGAAAGAACTTGCCATGTTTAGCCTTGAGAAAAGAAGACCGAGGGGAGACACAACAGCACTTTTCAAAGACTTGAAAGGTTATCATTCACAGGAGGGCCAGCATCTGTTTTCGGTCATCCCAAAGTGTAGGAAATGCAACAATGGGCTCAAGTTAAAGGAAGCCAGAATTCGGTTGAATATAAGGAAAAACTTTATAACTGTTAGAGCAGTACAACAATGGAATCAATTACCTTGAGAGGTGGGGAGTGCTCCAGCACTGGAGGAATTCAAGACAACCACCTGGCAGATATCCTTTGATTTGTGTTCCTGCATTGAGCAGGGAGTTGGACTTGATGGTCTTATAGGCCCCTTCCAACTTTATGATTCTATGAGGCAGGACATTAAATAGCAAGCATTTTGAACTGCATTTCTGCAGAAAAGAGCAGGTAATCCCACACAGTTCTTGTGCCTGGTTCTAGAATGTAGAATCATATCAAAGAAAAGCACATATATCTATATTACATATATTTACATATTATATAAATTACTGTATAGGTTTGCAAAGGTTTAACTTTTAATAATTCTTTAAGAAGAAGCTGTTGATTGATAGGTAGATATCCCTCCTTTCACCCAGAACTAGCACTCAAGAAACACAAGTTATAATATTAAAAAACAGTTAAATGAGTTATAGTCAACATTATTGAACTAAAGCAGTTTAAATTAAAAAAATTAAAATACTAAACTGTATGACTAAAAGTCTACGGTTAACAGCAATAAAAGCTGTTTAAAGTGACGCAAAGGATTCTGCCTGAATCCTTTTGAGAGAGCACTTCCTACCCCTGCAGCACTTGAGAAGAATGGGTTTATTTGATGGCTGCTAGCTTGTATGTAGGCGGTCCTATGCAGATGATGAACGGTAGAATAAACTGTACATATTTGACCTATGAAACTCTTTCAGACAGACATTTACCAATAAAATTTTAATTCAGATCAGTTTGAAGTTTATACCTTCTTGGTGACATGGGGGTGCAAAATAGCAAAAATTTTATTTGCCTTAACTTCTGAATGTATTTTTATAGTACTGAGCCTGCTTTAACATCTGTGTGTATTTTTCAACAGGAGTTTTTACAGAGAAATCCTCTTCCTGTCTCTAGTGTCCCTTGGGAGAGAGAATATTGATATTGGTAAGAAAGAATTGGTTGCATGTTTTTTAAAACTGTTTTTTCTGTATATAGTAAAAGAAATATTGTATTTTTACTGATCCAGGAACTAATTGTTCATAGAATTCCTGTTCACCTGGGGAGAAGGTCCTTACACACATAATGAATAGTCTTTTGGATTCTTGGTCTTGGTTTATTTGAAACCATTGCTAGAACTTTGATATCTTCAATAATAAGATGGTTCTGACAAATGGCTAGCTTTCCTACGTATTTGTTTTTAAAGACAGGAGATCAGCTACCATTTATTTGTTTTTATTTTTTTCCCCATCACCCCAGCATTCCTTGGGAGAATTGGAGGTGCAACCAGAAACCTAGTAGAGCCTAAATTGAATATCTGCAGCATTCCTTTATGTTTCCTTTGAAGACTAGAAGTAAATGCAGATTCCATGGCTGGCGCACCAGTCTCTGCTCTTGCCCTTTTGCTCTGTTTAACATCTTGCTTGATAAAGCAATCTGAAGAACTCAAATGTATGCACAGTAGTTTGTGATTATGATATGAAAAGTACTGATATGGTACATAAGAAAATTGCCAAAATCCTGCTATGGGTTTTGGCATTTCTCTTATGGCTAAAGTGTCTCTGGCTTCCCTTTTCCCAGAACATTGTAACTTACATGACAAAGGTTTAAGAAATGAGTCATGGTTTACAATGCATCCTACCACCTTATAGCATGCATTCTTTATTTTTTTAATAGCAGCAACTTAGAGATGTCTTCGCTTATTTTAAAATATAAGCTTAACTGCTGCTTGGTCATGAGGGGAAAGATCATGTTATGCACTTGTTCTAGGGAACCGTTGTTTGTTCTCAGCATAACGAGCATAACGGTCAAAGATTAATTGCAGGGAATTGAGAAGTTTAGGAGACAATGAAGCTTTCCCTGTGTTGTCTGCCCCATGATTGAAGCTTTGTTCCTATTGTTTGCAGAGGCCTTTGACAATGAGTACAGAACTGCATATAAAAGCCTTCCAACAGAAGTGCTTGGAAAAATGCAGAAGATAGATGCTCCACCCAGCAGCAGTGTTGAATGGTGCAGGAAATGCTTTGGACCCCCTGTCATATGAATTCTCCAGAGAGATGAAGAGCTCAAAAACATCAGAGACTAGCAAAACTGGGAATGTCTTGATTTGGATCTAGGCTCTAACACTTGAGTTATGGTTGTTGTGCCCAATCCATTTCAATAGCAAATGTAGCACTCTTCTGCAACCACTTAAGATACTCCTACTACTAGCCCATAAATTAGCACACATTTGCTAGTACAAAGAACCTTGGGTTTTTGAACTGTTAACTTCAATTATATTCTGTCGAATTAACCTTTTCTTTGCCTTATATCAAGAAGAGAAGAATGACAGTGGAGACTAACGTGTATCTGGTGTCTTCCTTTTAAAGACTTGAAATGTTGGGGTATTTCGTGCCTTCTAGCCTAGGAGCACATTATAATATTAATTTTTGAGTGTATGGAACAGCCCCTGTTTTAAAGAGGGAACTGTTCGCTGCATGTAGGTATACATATATATTGTACATTTGAACTGGGAGTCACTATTTCCCCCCTTTGGTCAAAAAAACAAACTGTAGCTTTAGTTAATACCCATGAAAGGAATTGCCACCCCAATCCATAGCAAAAAATACTATCTTAAATCTTTAATTTTAAAGCTATATATACAATGTTCTCTTCTCCCAGACAATGATGGGTTTTTGCCCTGAGTGATTCTAAGGCCTTTCTGGAAAAATAAAGGAACTTAGGGTACATTAAAGGATATGATATATTGTCCATATACATTTTTAACATTATTTTAAAAGAAAGTCTATAAATATATATGTATGTATAGGGGCAAAACTTGAAACTTCAGGTACATTAGTGCCTCATGCCTGCTCATCTTTCTAACTTATGGGTCTCTCTCTCTCTCTC